TCCAGAAAGTTTACTGTAAGCTCACCAGTTGAACCTATTCAGCTCTGATAAATGTAGAAGTTGCTGGAGAACAGGAAGACCAAGACAACTCTGTAACAGAATGAGAATAGATGTGGAAATACGAAATTTAGTTTCCTGATTTCCTTTCCCAGTGAGAACTCTAGCTGCAGAGCTATTGGCTCTTTTTTGCCTCTCCTGGGATATAGTGTTGAATCCTGAGTGAAGTTTAATGGGATTGATCATGTTTTTTCTCTTTGGTTGAGGAGGCTGAATTCATTTAAAGGGAAATAAATGTTTCATGATTTTTGACAATTGAAGTGTTTTTAAATTCATTGTTGAGACACATTGGTTCCCTGAAAAGAAAAAAAAACCCTTTGACTCAAGTAAAATGCTTATGAAACAAATTTAGTTCATGAGTATAATGTGCTGCTTCAGCTATACATTACAGTATTATGAAGGACTTGCTGGTTTTCAACCTTGGAAAGCATCTGTGCTCACAAGTGCAGCCAAAGGCAGCACAAGTCAAGGGCCATGTTTAATCACTGCTCTGGTTCTGTCAGTGGCAAGACAGAGCTTTGTTACTGAACCTGTCCTCAAAAAGTAAGCCACTTTCCCCATTCTTAAAAGTATTGATTTCTTTATTTTAAAAGCTGCTTAAAATAAAGCAGTCTCCTGCTGATAAGAGCATTCTGAGGTAGTCTGGCTCTAGTTTCTCAAACTAAAACCTTGCTTCTACAATTAACTCTTTGTATGCAGTGGAGAACATGCAGCTGAGTTTCTTTCATTTTAGAGGCTGTATGCTTACTATACTAGAATGTTTAAATCTCCTGAATGGAAAAAAATTAATTCCTTCCACACAATTGAAACAGAATAAATGCCAAGAAATTATATACAAATTTGGACAAGCTCTTTGGAGCTCTTAGCCTAGAAAACACCTCTGAGATGTGGAGTCTGATCCCTTCTTATTCCAAATAGCATAAAATGGAATTCCTCTATGAGTTTATCTCATTACATCTTAAGTGCAGTTATACTTTTTCATGATACTAATTCATGATTTTGCAGCCATTTGGGGTAAAGGTGCATACACCTATTGCTATTTCAACTCCATCTCCTCTCTTTTAAGCTTTTCTCACGTTTTTATTCTTTGAACTGGAAGCAGATAAACAGCTGATTAAAAACTGAAATGACATTGAGCAGATGGTTGTACTACCTGTATATATCCAGGAGCAATATAGCATGCATTCAAGGTTGCACATTATATTCTGGCCGTGAGGGATATACTAATCTGTAATTCAGTCTGTGGCTCAGGGAGCAAAACTGGTTTCTCTGTGTGAAAAACCTGTGACCCCTCTTCTGAAAGGTCCAGGGCCGCCAGAATGACTTGTGATGTTTGCTGCAGGTCTAACTCATGGCCCTACTTTTGGGTTCATCAGCCACATGGCATTTGCTAGGGGCCTTTCTTTGAGTAGCTTCCCACACTCATTTCCATTTTTAAAGATGAGCCGGAAAGAATCTCCAGCTCGAGCAGTGAAGTGAATATTTGATTTTTAATTTATTGCATAGCTGAAGTGTAACGCTGTGGTACCAGAGAATGAAAAGTTCTAACAAAAAGCCGTTCTCTGTGCATGCTGAGAGCTGTCTGGGAAGAGAGTGAGTTAAACTACAGACCTGACTCTGTGATTCTTAATGCTAGCATCTATAAGTGGTAAAATGTATATTGATTAGGTACCATCAGATCCTGCAGGCAGTTTGCCTTGCCCATGTGCAGATGCTCTGCACTTTTAAGAACCAGAGGAAAGTGCTGTGTAAGGATGTGTGGAAACAAGAACTCTTCTTGACATCATGTTTAGTGCACTGGACTCAGACAGCTTGAAGCTTCCAGATATGAGTCTGAATAAATAAGACTGGGATCATTCCTTACTAGGACATATATGTGATTTTTTTTTCCTCAAAAGAGATGCTTTAAAGACTAAATAGTGAAGTCTGAGCAGGATGAAGGGGAAATTCCAGATGTATCCAAAACTTGATCACGGTAAGTGTATTCACTGACTGTATGTACAATGATATTTACTAAAAATTGCCTCTGAAATGAAAAGATTAAAGGAGAAAAATTTGAATGCAGAAATCTATGTTCATGGATGATTGCTTTGTAATTATTAGTACTAAAAACAAATCTGATTTTTTTTATTTGGGTTATTTTGTTTCTTTTGCTTGAACAGTACTTCACCACCACAGAATAGTATATTTCTTTCTTCAAACAGTTCTAAAAATCATGCACATTTATGGCATTATGAGATTTGAAAGAGAAATGAGGTGGGTTACTATATTAACTGACAAGTAGCTAAAGACAAAATATAAAGAGGATTAGGTTTGGACCATAGCTTCAGTACATAGGAATTAGGATATTCAAATGATTTGTATCTTTTGAAGGGCATGAAAGTAGAGACGAGGTTACTATTTTCCCTTTTAAATTGCAATTCATGGACTATCAACTTGCGATCCAGAACTTCAGACTACCTTTCTGTCATAAGGGCATGAGGGTTTTTCATATTTTAAATAGCATTTATAAGCTTTCAAGTAAGCTGAAAGTAGTTGTTGTTAAATACCTCATTTATACGGATATACTTTCATTATAGTGCAAGTCCCTTGGAGGCATTTTTGAAAATCTACATTTACATCTGTAAATTTACATTACATGAGGCATCTATTCTATTGTCCTTCTCTGTATGGAATAGAAAACAAAGAAATTCCCCCCAAATGTAATGCAAAAAAAAATACTGTCTTTTATACTCACAAACAAAGCTCCCATGATGGGTGAAGAGTTTTTTATCAAGTTTTGTGATGTTTTAATTCATTACTACTCATATTTTATATGCTGTAAATTATATCAGCAAGAATATAGGTACTTCATATTTTCTTACCTTCATAATGTATACCATCTGTACAATAATTCTGAGTTTTTTTTTTTTTTAAATACATCTTGATTCATGTGGACTAATCTTATTTCAAGGATCTGTTGCTAAATTATTCTATTACATCTTTCAAGAACTGGCATGGTGAAATGTCATGTCCAGGAACAGTTTAACTCTTTGTCTTCCTCATTTATGCTATGTCAACCTTACCTACAGCCAGTTGTCTTTTGTTTTACTGTCCTATAACCCTACATGTAATCCTGTGAAATCCTCATCTGTGCTTAGCCAGTTAACCCTGTGTGCATGTTCTTTCCTGTGCTCCCTGGACTGTAAAAGATGGTAGAGTGGTCAAGAAAAAAATTGTCCTGGTTTGTCTCACTGACTTTTTCAAGTCTTATTTTCCTCTGTGTTTTTGAGATTTAAATGGTGCAGAAACATGACAGATAGCAAAATCCAGGACTTTTTCTTCACACAACATGTACAGGTAGGACTCCCTCTCCTTCTTACTCAAACAGTATTGGAAATTGGGAAGAAACTCAGAAACACCTATCCTCTGGAAATAGACAAAGGGAAAGAATTAAGTAACTCAAAGGACGGAATTAATCAAGCCTTTTCAAATAGAGTAGCATGGTAATGCTACTCTAATGGAGAAGGTTTTTGAGAATCATAGAGTTTAGGGCCATGTAAAGAACCTGATGTTATTTTTTTTATTAAGCTTTTTATCCTTTTATTTTTACCTTTATCTAAAGTCAATGTATGTGTCTGGATTTTTGCCATGTTTTTTGTACTGGGAAGTTCTAATGAGCTCCCTTTGCCCCTGACTAAGGCACTCTCTGTAAAACAAAGGTTTTTACTTTGTTACCAGTCTGTTCCAAGTAAGTTGCTCCCAATAGAACATTTTTACTCTTACAACAATTTATTTTTAGGCAAGTAGAAACTTAGTCGCACAGAACAGTGATTATCTCAATAACAAGCAGCATTTTCTTCTTACTCCTGCATTTCTATTCAAAGTTCATTATCTGTCAAATTTTAAAAAAATTAGTTTTAATCTAAAAATGAAATATGTGCCAGCTTTTACTCAGGCAATAGAATGAATGAAGTCTAATGAACATCATCTTTGTAAGAAGGTATTACTGTGATATGACTGTATTTTCATCCTGTAACTTGATTTTTTCTAGTTTTGTGCCACAATATTTGCATCTATCCAGATCATTTCCTAGGTTACTTGTGCAATTGCTGTGAATGATCTCTATAGAATTTACAGTATTATAAATGTTTAATCACAAGGTGTGCATGTTGATGTGGACTAGGATCACAAGAATAACTACTTGAATTGTGGTCATCTAAAATCTTGCTGTTAGCCTAAAGCTTGCTGTTAGCTTTTCATCAGAAACTCTCTATATTCTACTTTTAATCAGACTCAAACTCAAAGCTGTTGAGCAATAAAGATCTAATCTGGTTTGAGCTCAGAGGACTGAGAATACCTTTAGCTGTTGTTTTGGTTTTTTTTTTTTCTCTTTACTCCAAAAGAAAATCCACCTTTTTACCTGCTTTTCTAAAAATAGTAAAAGGGAAATTATAAAAATAGGGCTGCAGTTTAATATCAGTTTAATTCCTGCTGAAATAATTCTGTTTATTTTCCTTGCTTGTCTGTTTGGTGTAAAACAATTATGTATGGTGTGAAGAGAAATATTTCCCTCCGAGCCATAAAGTGGCTGTATGTGATGAAGTGCAGTCATGATGGAGAGAATGTGTTAGCACTGTAAGAAAAAAAGTGACAAAGTTCCTTACTCAAAAAAGTGCTGAACTGTATCTTAACATGTAGTTGGGTTGTAGAAAACTAAAAGCTTAAATTTCTGTTGTTAATGTTGTTTCTGTTGTTAATGTTGTTTCTGTTGTTAATGAACATAACTCTTTCAATGTAGATTTATTTTAAGTCTTTATCAGACTGAAGAGCATAAACCCAAGTCTGTCTTGATATAATGGATGTTGAGTTATTTGTACTGGAAGCAAAACTTATATATTTTGACCTTGTCTTTCTATATGAACTTTTCCACTGTTTTGTTTGTTGTTTCTTTTTAATCACAGCAAGACCAACTTTATACTTGGGCTGCAGTTAGCCAACCCACACATTCAACAGATTACATTGAAGGAAGCTTTCCCAGGAGAATTCCATCTGCGTGGCCTCCACCCAAACCTCCAGATGAAGAACAAAGGCTCAAAATTTCAGAAGAAGGTACAGTTCTTGGATACAGAAAAGATAAATGTATAGGATATAGGAAGCTGCTGTGCTTTAGAATCTGAAATATGAACTTAGTATCTTAGCTACTAACAAACACCTGGTTTTGAGAATCTTGGATTAGCATCAGAAATAATGTCAGCCAGTATGAATCTAATAGAAAATATTCACCAAAAATGCATTCTTTTTGTTAACAACCAAGATATGTACCTGGCATCTGTTAAATAATGGATTTTGCCAGGTGCTGTGATCTTTATTCTTTTCCAGTATGCATACCTTTAGAGCTATGAGATATGAGTTCGTTTTTCTTCTTAAAAATATGAAAACTTCAGAAGCTGACTGGCATTATCCTGTAAGTTATTAGAGTGATTTAAGGTATTCCTTTGTAAATTCAGCAGTCCTGTGATGACAGAGGAGTAGGAAAAATGTATCTGAAAAAATAAAAAGAGGACTTGTTTACAAATTCAGTTTACCTTAAAATTTGTGAGGTTATGCTACCAGATGAAGTTCTGCAGTCTTCTCCATGCTCTTTAAGAGCTTTGTTGACACTGACAATTAAAACCAAGCAAGAAAAAGAACTCCCTTGTAGCTGACAAAGAAATTTAGAAGAGGATTTCAAGCCTGTTTTCTGTTAGTAGTGTTGACCCATAAATACTACAGGTTCTTGGAGGCTTTGTTTTCCATTTAGTATTCAGCAGCTCTCAAAACTATAGACTGCATTCATCCCCATGCCCTCCATGGACAGCCCCTGGGTATTCTCAAATCTTTCATTCTTTTCCACTCCTCCTTTTCATTGCTCTGAGTTGAAGAGTTAAGTCATTATTTCAGCAGATCTCTTTGTATTATTTGTAGGCTTTGGGTGGAGCTAATTTCAGATTTGCTTCTCTTTGGGACTTTTCTGCCACTTCCTCTGGGATATGACCAAAGTATTTCTTGCATGGACACCTCTTACCATGGCAACATTTTACTTTTACTAGTATCACTTATTTCAGTGTTCACAAGCAAAACAAGTGGTGCCAACAAAAATGCAATATTGCTGTGTTATTCTGTTTAATACTATGCCTTTTACCAAAGGAATTCTATTGGAGATCAAGGAAACGTTTCTGCATCCATCTCACTGATGCAATTCAGAGTGCGGAACTCTGCAGTGCTGGATGTTTGAGCTAGTCCAGGTTTTAACCAATGATCTCCTGTTTTATGCTGTATTCAATGAAAGTGCTGCCATATGTGGTGGTAGAATTCACTGCCATCTACTCAGAGACTTGTGTATCTCAGCTGGGAGACATACCTAATATATGTGATCACACTATTTATGAACATACTGTGCATACTTGAAAAACAAAAGGGTGAATTTCAAATTAAATTATTTTGAGGTTAGTGTAAGTCAACAAGAGTTTAGTTTCTCTAAAATCTAGAAGAATGTTGATAATGTAAAATATTTTGAAATTTAAAGCTACACTTAGAAGTGTATTTCTATCAAAAAGATAATACTAATGATTTTTAAATGTATTAATTTTGTATGTGATTTGTTTCCATCCTGTTTTTCTGTTTATTATGCCTACTACACAGATGTAATGTGTACAGCACTTGTCTATTCCTTTTCTCATCCACTGCCCTCTCAAAAAACCCCACAAAAATATTAAGAAATAGAGTTAGAAATAAAGCAAAAAATTGTGTATTGGGAGTTTTTCTAAGTTTAATAGAAGTAGTTCTTAAGATGTATTTAATGAAATGTTGGTGTGATTTTCAATGTAGGATATGGAGGAAAAGAAAAAGTTATAATTCTTTTGAGTACAACTCAGATAGATGAATAATTTAACTTTCTTTAATTGTTCACATGCTTGCCTTTTGGAAGAAGCTGGAGGTGAGTGATGTGAAACCTGAGGATAAACACCTTCCTCAAAATTTATAACTAAATTATTTTGTGTATTTACACCTTTGCAGTCTGTAGAAGGCAAATATTTTTTAAAAATATTTAAATTATTATCTGCAAGGTATGTGTATTTTGTTTTGTATATAATTATTGCTGTCTGGATTAAAGATCTACATTAACACTAGAAACAATAGTTCATTAAAAAAGCATGCATTTTAGACAAAAGCATTGATAGAGGATGCAGCATGATGTTTTTTATAGAATCTTTTTTTTATTGCATACAATAAAATATTGTATACAATATTAGAAAAGAAGACCTCCTATCATTTCTAATATTGTATACTATATTGGAAAAGATAGTAGACCTTCAAGCTTTAAGTAAGGCAAGAGACAAAAATCTTCAAGGTAGTTAATAATCTGTTTAGTATAGTTTTATAGTATTTAATAGTGTTCCTGTATGCTCTGTAACATGTGAAGCATTGCTGGATGTGTGAAAAGGGCTGTTAGAGTGGTTGGGAGTTTCTGGGGCTTTTGGGGCAGTGGGTTTCGTCAGGTTAATTATTGTTGTTTGGTGATTTTTTAGCTTGGTTATTTATTTAAAAACAGACATTTGGAAATACCTAATATGAATTAGGTTCAAGTCAGCAAATACTTATGCTAAAAGCATTTTTCAGTTCTGGATTTAGTTAAGGTTTTGGACAAAATGAGCCAACATCACCCGTAAGATCAATGCGTATGGGACTAATTTTCTATTTGAACACCCAAATCTCTTCCTGTCTCTTACAGCATTTCACTCCACCATTATCACATCTCAGCACATTGCCTGAATCTAAACTCAGCAGTGTACTTGAAATTAAATTATTTTAATTCTTGGCTGATGACACTATTCTACTTAACATAGAGGAAAAGGCAAGTAAGCAGGCACTAGAGCCCAGTCACCCCCTCTCCCATGGGGCTGTTTAACCACTTGAGAAGGCATTCAAAGATTATGCAACTTCTGCAAAACGAAACAGTCTCAGATCACTAAATATCAGTCTGGGTTTACCTGAAATCTAAGTTAGTCTTTTAAAAAAAAGTATATAAAAAAAACAGGAAAAAATCCAAACCAAAGAAAAAAATGTTTGATTTGCTTTAAAGTAAAGGTTTAATTTCCCATACAGCACTCTTTTCCAGAACCTTTTTTTCCTAACTGTGGTGGTAGTGTTTGGGGTTTTGGTTTGTTTTTTTTATTTTTTTCATTTTGCTTAACAAAAAGGGTTGATTTGCTAAAAGTAGATTTTATTTCCAAATTTTCTCTGATTAGCCTTAAAGTTAACTGCTCATATCACCATGACTTCAGCTTATATTTAGAATCCTTTTTAGAAGGATAACATTTATGAGGTAAAAATAAGCTAGATAATTCTGTCAAATTGTTTAATGTTGACCACTGCACAGGAGCAGTCTGTTCCTATTTTCTTAAGCACTTTTATGTAAGGGAGGTAGTTGTGCTAATTTGCATAGCAGAAAACATTCAGCATTGTGGGTACATGTCTGATGCTAGGAAATCTGCACAGAAAAAATCTGTTGCAAGCAAAGATCAAAGAGATGCTAACATTTCTCTCAAACACAGACAAATCTAAAATCTAAATGATTAGTTATTTCTTGCTAGGTGCAGCTTATCCACATCCAGGTAAAAAAGTTGTGGATTGTTAATTTTCCAGCCTTGTGACAAAACTCACACTTGCAACGAAGCTTCTTCCTTGTATGTCTCACTTTCCAACAGTTGGAATTGTCAGAAAGCTGTGAGGAGGCCAAAGGTCCAAAAATTACGAATCCAAAAGCTCTGGTTCACAGCTGTTTCACTCTTTCTGCAAATAGTCAAGAGATTTCCCTGTTGAATAGTGGTACCCTCAAACATATAGGAAAGATGCCACACATATAATATCTGGGCAGGTGTAGAGAAAAATAATTCTGTTCTTGTTATGTGTAAATAACTGAGCTATGATCAGTAAAGAGGCATCATTAGCTGTAGTTCCTAAACTGATTATAGATATTTGCACTGTGTAGTTTTTTATAGAGTTGTTAGCTTGTTTGTTTTCCTTTTTCTGATTATTTCCTATCAGGTAAGGAAACTGAGACACAGTGTGGTTCTTTAAGGTCAGAAAAGTAATCTGGTTTTAAAATAAGAAATAGGATCTAGCTGTGGAGTGCCTTACATTTTGCTGTATTTTTAAGATCTGTATTAGTACCTATGTTATTGTGGAGTTTTCAAATTTCTGTGGTAGTGAAGAAAGGAAAACATAGTTGGCAGGAGTCATCCATTTTAAGGACAGGTAATTTTGGGGATAATTTGGAAAGTGGGACAGTTAACATTCTTTCCTTTTTAACTTTACACTCCTTTCATTAATTTCTTAATGTGTATTTCAAAAGATCAGTCGATTTTTTTTTTATTTATAGAATTTTAAAATCTGTATCTTCTTTTCAAATTCAGAGTTGAAATCTACAGTCCTAGAAACAGAGAAGCAATGCATAGGTGGTGTTCAGCAGGCACAGGTAAGAGTCTAACAGAAATGTTTTATCATTTTTTTAGAGAGGGAAAAAAAAGCAGTACTTGTTTTCAGATATTTTTGAAATAGTTTTGTGTACTAAATGTTCTGTATGAAAAAATTCCCAAGTGAGGGTGTTTTATACGCTCCATATTGTATCTAGGTATAAAGATTGAAGGTTCCTGCCTAAGATGATTCTTACTAAATGTTTTTGTCCACTCAAAAGTAAGTTAACCCTCTGATGGCATTAGTAAGGAATAGTTATAAAAGATCATATTATAGTAGCTAATCTACAAAAGTGCGTGTAAATGATAGTGTCAGGGATTTTTTTCTGACTCTCTCCTCAATCTTACAGCACTGGTAGTGTGTGAACAGGTTCAGAGGGCATGCTGGACTTAAAAAGGAGATAATGTAATAGTGGGACAGTGGAGAAAGTCTGGGTTGGACTTATGCCACAGAAACACAGTGCGTCTTATTTTTTTAGCATGTCATATATGCTCTTCTATTCATCATTAAAGGTGGTGCAGTTTAATGGGGCTGAGGAATTTCAAATTCTGCTTCCTCAACAGGAAACAGACTTATCTTACTTGTGGATAATACTATTCACTTGTTCTGGAAGTCATTAGAAGGAAGGCTAGGTTCTGAAATCTTGGTTCGAAAAAAGCAGTGACCAAAAGCTCATGGAATCTCTTTTCTTCCTCCTCTGTTTCACAGCTTGTTTCCCTTGTTTCCCCCTTTGGGTTTGTTTTGGGGCTTTTTTATGGGGTGTTTTTTGTTTCTTTTGGTTTGCTGCGTGTTTTTTTGTGGAGTTTAAGGGGGTTTTTTTGGGTTTTGGTATTTGTGGAGTATTTTGTGTTGGTAACAAGACAATTCAAGCATCACTGTATCAAGCAGCATTTGTGAAAATGGCCAGTAATATCCTTTTCAGGGAAAAATAAGGAATGTGAAGTTAAATACATACTACTGATCATTATACTTGCAAATTTCATTTGGGCTTGATTACATGTTTTGTGAGCCATGGGTGGGGAGAGTATGTGTAGTAGCTTTATGGCTTGCATTGCCAAACAATTTTAAAGAGTTCTTCTAGCTGGTTATCTAAATTCTTCTAACTTCATAATATGGAACATTTTAAAACTGCAGCTTATCAATTAAAGTAATTTTACAAAATAATTATTCATTCTGGTATTTTAAGTTTAACCTAACATTTTTCTCATGCTGTTTCTATATTCCAGTCACCCAGGTTTCACTAACAATGGTTTCTATTATTAATGGTGGAAAAGCACTTTTTCCCGATACTTACAGAAAGCAATTGCATGTAAGGAGCATATTTAAGCAGTTTTTAGTATTATAATTCATTGCAAGAAATGACCTATATAAATGGTTTTCTTATTGGAAATGTAATTAATTGAAATAGGTTTATGAATACGCAGTTATTTTACATATTAAAAACAAGTATCGTGAGCATTCATGTGAGACTGAAGTTTATCCAGGAGCTCTGGAGCACTGCATGATTGCTTGAATGGCATTTATTTGTGGTTGGGAGCTTTTCTTTATTTTTAAAACTAGCCTAGTATGTTGTCCAATCCCTGAATTCCATTTGCTGATGTTTAGGAGATCCCCATCCCTCTTACTCCGTGGTGATCCCTTATGGCAGTAACGTGAACTTCTTCCATTCCGTACTACTATTCATCAATAACCTGCAGGACTAACAGGATCACCTCACTTGCAGAAAGTCATCTCAAGCTTTTGCTGTATTATGTCATCATCATTCTGGTTTATTTTAAAAATCAGGGTGGAGGTTTTTTCTTTTGAGGAACTGTATGTGGATAAAGTGGCATATGTTTAAATTATTTCTGTAGTGTCCCAAGCAGTCAAGCATATTGTACCTATCTATCAGGGTTTAACTACATCAATCTATAAAAACATCTAGAATGTAGCACGGCCATCATGTTTGTAGGTAAATCCTACAATCTGCAGTCAGACCATTCTTGGTGTTATCTGTTCATTTTTTAAGTGATGAACGTGTTTCTATTAGAGAACTACCCTCTTGTGTGGTCTGCAGTTTAAATTTTTGAAAAAAAAAAAAAAAAAAAAAAAAAAAAGCATGGCCTGAAGTTAGCCTAATAGGTGATTTTTCTTTTTCTTTTCATATATAAATGAAAGAGAGCTCTAGTTTAAAATTTCAATTGATTAGCTAAGTGCTTACAGACATCTTCCCTCTCCTTTCTCTGGGAAAAGACATTTCCCATATACTGCTAATATAATTGAAGATTAGTGGCCAGAACACAGTTGTAACATGATGTGGTGATAAATTTCTCAGTTATGACAAACAATTAACAAAAAGAAACAGAATAATTTTTAATTAAATGCACAAGTAATACAGCCTGGATTGTATACTTTTTTGTCACTTGAAGGGGCTTCTTCATATATATCCTCTCCATTTCCTTATTTTTACAATATTATATATAATCTGCGTGTTTTACAGTAAAATTTTTGAACTTTTTTTGAGTGTTTTTTTTTTAGTCCAAAGTATCTAATTTTTCTAAATTACAGCTACAAAAAACCAGGATGTGGGGTGTGCTTGTTTTTAATACAGGAATTGTTAAGCGGTGGAAAAGTAAGAAAAGTTGGCAGTCATTTCAAGTCCTGGTTTTGAAATGCCAAATAGCAACGATGTCTGCTTAGTCTTCCCAGTATGAACAGAGAACGTTTTGTTAGCCTTAACTCCTTTAGTGAAAGAAGAAGAGAAAAACTGAGTGCCCTAATTTAGAAACTCCAGCTTCAAGCGTGATCTTTAAATTTGACAGCTATACTTTGTGCAAGAGCCAATTTCTGTTCTGTTTGTAACCCTGATATTTTGTACTGTCCTTGCACTTTTTCTTGTATTTTAACTTACTTTTCAGAATAGCTTGATTTTGTTTACATAGTAGGTAAAAATAGATTCTTAGCCAAAAGATCCTTTAATTGTAAGATCAGTACATGTAAACTAGGCTTTGGTTAGTAGAGGGACATTACAGAGCCAGAAACCTAAAGTTGTTTGAAAGGCACTTAAAAGCATTGTTTTATACCCCATATTATAAAATTATTTTAAATTTCTATGTTTGATCATTTGTGATGAGAATCTGTTCTGTGGACCACACAATTTTAAAAACAAAGGCCTTATTATATTTATTTGTCAGCATCCAGATATAATGAATATTTCATGCCACCTTGTGCTTGGTCCCTGCAATCCCACCTCAGGAGAGGAGATTTTGCCAGATGTTGCAGTCCATAGCAGTTTGGTTATAAGATAGTTTACACTAACTATTTAAACCATATTTACATCAGAAAAGCTTGTCATCAAAAAATTCTTATGTTCATAATGTTTCTGTCTTAGCTTGGTTTGGTTCACCACATTTTACCCAAGAAATAAATCCTCAACCAAAATGATATGCCCTTTTGGAATTCCAAGTACTTCCACTGGTACGAAAAGCCAGACAAAATGTTGGCAGTTCTGAGGTGCTAAAGATGGATTTCTACTGCATAAAGATGGATAATCTACTGGCATACTTTCCAGCAATGTCATAGGGAAACAATGCTAATCTTAAAAAAATTAAAAAAAAAATTGCAAGTCAGGTTTTGCCATCTTGAAGATACTTTCTGCTTTATAAAAACAGACTCATGGAATGTATCTTTAGAATATTCCTAACAACCTCAATTTATGGTAACTCCTCTCTCAGTCGGGACCTTTCTTCTTGTGGTAGTTTTTGACTATGACTTATTGTAATTCCTTAGGGAAATGGCTTAGTGAGATTGGAAATGTTCCAATTTTGACACTTAGTAATACAAGAAAAAAGGTTCTGAAATCCTTTAAGATAAATACATAGTCAGTCTGTTTAAGGAGTATAAAACATTGGTGGGACTGGAATTTACTTTTCATTATTATAAAATGTCACCATTAGAATTTGTCTCAGAAACATACATGCTGTCCAAAACTCTCTCTTAAGAGAAATTTCAGAGATTATTCTTTATAAGTGAAGGTAAGATAAAGAAGGTAGATGAAAGATCAGTCTGAAACAGTGAAGTACAAAAATTTTTTTTTAAAAAGGAGAGATTTTATAAACCTGATTTAGACTGTTATGACACTGGTAGTCTGGTATAAAGCCTGTTCTGTTTTGGTATTAAATGGTTTTCATCAGCACATAGACCAACTATAGACAAGACTAGTGACACACTGGCTTCAACAGGAACCTAAGGAAAATTGGGAACTCTTCCTCTTGGCTGGCTCACAAACAGCTCTGTGGCTGTGGCATTTTTAACACTTCCTGATTCTGGATGTTCTTTCTTGAGATATTTATTAAGAAAAAAGCTTGTGAAGAAGTGTCATTCCCCTTCCATCCTTTTGCTTTTTGACAGGTTACTTTTTGTAAGGGGGAAGAGAAGGCTTGAGGAAGCAATGAACAGTTACTCTAAAACAATTCTTTTCCTACAAAGATATGACTGCCAGAGTCCTAGATTTCAGCAGGGAAAAATAAGTTACATACTTGGGTAAAAAAAAAAAAATCCAACCAAAAAGTCTTATGATGTATTCAAAAGGATCTACTATATACAGTTGTCTCATTGAGGAAATAAAGGATTATGACAGAAGTGAATATTTTTGGATGTTTCCATATGAACCAACTGACAGCGAATAGAATTGTATATCTTCTTTTAAGAACTGTACCAATGTCAACCTTCTGCAAAATCATGCCACCATACCCAAACTTCAGAAAACAAAAAGTTAAAAAAATTCAGAGGTATTTCTCTGTGGTTTTTTTATCTTGCAAAATGTAAAGCCAGATTTGTAATATGTGATGTGGAGGAACTTATATTCTAATTGTAGGTCCAATGTTAGAATTGGAGTAGCTTAGCTTTAAGCAGTTGAATTTCGGGAATCATATGTAGATAGATGGTGTTTTCTTGTTAGCATTCAGAGTAAATGAGGTTTTACCAGAAACACACAGAAAGGAAACAAAGTTTGTAGGAAAA